AATGAAGCCCCATATATCTGAACAATGTTGATTCTAATTTATTCATGGGAACTGGGTGCTTTGCTGTCAAAGGAGCAATAGAAATCTATAGTGTTTATAATGTGCCAGCTCCTCTCAAAAGGAGTTGCTGCCCTTGACTTTCGGACTCTGATATCCATCAGACTCACAGTTGAAGATATTGGCAATTCTACCAGCCTGACTGCCGAGTCCCACTCTGGCTCAATCCCAGTGCAAGAGGCTTCCTCCTTCATAGAATCAGAGTAACAGAATTTCCAGGACCAGGCTCTTTATCATACAGAGGCAAGCTATCTATGCGGCAAAAAGAACACTGGTCCTAGAAAGTCAGGTTTGGCCCTGGTTGGCGTAGCTCAGTGGATTGAGGGCGGACTGTGAACCAAAGCATCGCAGGTTCGATTCCCAGTCAGGGCACATGCCTGGGTTACAGGCCACAGCCCCCAGCAACCTCACATTGATGTCTCTCTCTCTCTCTCTCTTTCTCCCTCCCTTCCCTCTCTAAAAATAAATAAATAAAATCTTAAAAAAAGAAAAAAGAAAGTCAGGTTTGTCCCAGGGATTCCAAGCACACAGTATCTGCTTTAGGAACACCATGAGTGTTTGTTAAAATGCAAACTCCAGGTCCCCATTTGGGAGCCAGTGAAAGAGGATTGCAAACTGCAGCGTAAGAACCATCACTCTTGACCTGTGGTCTCTCAAATAGGGTACCCACATAACAGGAGATGCATAAGACAGTGCCATTGGTTGTGTGAGAAAAGTAGAAGGACTTATTGCATAAAATAAGAAATATAACCCTGGCTGGTGTGGCCCAGTGGATTGAGCGCCAGCCTGTGAACCAAAGAGTTGCCGGCTGGATCCCAGTCAGGGCACATGCCTGGGTTGTAGGCCAGGTCCCCAGTAGGGGGCATGTGTGTGAGAAGGTACTGGTCAGTGTTATCTCTCACACATCAATGTTTCTCTCCCTCTCTCTCTCCTTCCCTTCCCCTCTCTCTAAAAATAAATAAATAAAATCTTTAAAAAATAAGAAATAAAAATAAGTTGTTTCCTACTATTTAATAGTTGGCTTGTCACTGCATCCCTCGAGCAGTCATGTCACCTGCAGCTCTAGAGGCATTCTGAGAGTGGGAGCACCGAACTGCGGGGCATGAACTGTGGTGCCAGCACGGACTGGCATGTTTGCTTTTGAAGCATCAGAATGGACTGCAGCTCACTCGTGCAGTGAGTTCGTGGATTGTATCATCTAGTTTAAGCCTGAAAAAATGGACAGGTGACTTTAAAAGATTCTTTCAGAAAACACACTTTGCTTTTGAAATATAATGACAGTAAGCATCAGTGAAAAACAAGTAAATGGCAAAAATGATGCTTTAACATGAGCTTTTTGTTAGCTGCATTTGAAAGTAAAGATGATTATAATCCCATTGAATTTATGAAAAGTCAGCCCCCACAACCCCAAAACATAAACATTTTTCGAAGAGTAACTGAAACATGGACTTATACTTAACCAGCACTAATGCTGAATCTCACCCGACTGCAGAGTAAGATTTGGGATATTAACTATAGTCAGTATACAGTCATCATAATTACTGAGATTAAATAACCAGGGCAGTATAATTAATAACCTTTTTAGAAAGAGAAGGGAATTTTGTTCTGCTAATAAAGTAAAAATTATTTTTAAATGTTCATTTCATTTTAATCTCATTAAAAATTTTTATGTTGGGCCCTGGTCAGGTGGCTCAGTTGGTTGGAGCATTGTCCCATACACCAAAAGGTTGTGGGTTCGATTCCTGGTCAAGGCACGTACTTAGGTTGAAGGTTCAGTCCCCAGTCAGGGCGTATATAGGAGGCAACAGATCAATGTTTCTCTCTTACATCGATGTTTCTCTCTCTAAAATCAATAAACATATCCTCAAATAAGGATTAAAAATTTTCTTCTACATTGGTATATTTTATAATGTATTCACTCTGTGTGACAATCAGTATGTAATTTACAAATAAATATATACACATTATGGCCATGTGGAATAAAAAGCCAGATCCAGCATTTGTCACAGCTTCAAAGTTTCATGAAACAAAGTCTCTCCTCTGATCTCCTAATCAATGTTGAGACTAAGTAACCTGTTCCTTGGTAAGTCATGTCATCGGTAATTAAAAAACACCTTTTTCACTTGGGTATTTTAAGGGCTTTGTAATGGAGCCTCAGAAGAAAAATGCAATGAATTGGCCAGTCTTACTCCTCCCAGGTGTGAGAACCTGAAGGAATTCTGATAACCTATGTTGCGTATAATCGCCTGGCAGACTCTAAACCCAAACCAATCTCTTCCTGACCATCTCTGGGGGTGCCCCTGCAAGCACAGCACCAGGTGTGATTGTCTGCCTGAGCATGTCAGTCACAGGCGACAGTCCCTGATCTCCTGGGTCTCCCGTCTCCCATTTCCATTGACTGCTGCTCCTCCTCCTCCCGGAGCCACTCCCTGTGCCTCACGCTTGGGCTCCCAGGGCCTGCCTCAGGCCAGCTCACTTTGAAGACCTACTTTGGACTTTGTTCCAGTTTATGACCTTGGCTCATCTCATTTCATTTTCAAATTACATGCCCCATCAGCGCCACACAGCCACAGCTATGACTGAGATGCTCCTGCCATCTCTTCCAGGCTTGTAAGGCTCATACAAATTTACCAGGCATCCCATCTTCCTGATAGGAGGGCTGCTGGTTACATTATTATATTAAATAGAAAAGACGGGATCCAAGGACCACTTCTGAGAGACAGCTCTGTGCCCCAATTAATGTCTTCCTTAACTCTTTCAGAGACCCTAATAAAGGCCAAGGACACTCACTGATCAGGGGAAAAAACTGTACAATTCGGTCTTTGTCGGAGTCTTTCTGTTTGCTGCAATCACCTCTTTTGCTCTTTTCAGCTGCCAGGACCTGCAAATCTACAGCCCGGGGTCTCTGTTCTCTGTCAAGGTGAGGACAAAGAGAACGCTGGAGGCAGGAGAATGTTCATTGGAGTTTGTGAAGACCCTTCTCCTGTTCACTTTCCCCAACCCCTCCATTCTGAGGCTTTCTAACTTACTGTCTGCGTGCCCCATCCTTGGGCCACACACTTCCTTCATCTCTACAGACCCCCTGGCTGCTTTATTTATATCAGCCTCCCACTTTGCCCTGTTGGGTCCTCTTGATTTTGAACTAAGAGTCTATATAAATTGGTAGAGTAACCTCCAATATTTCCCTTTCCAAGAATCCTTTTTGTTATTTCCCCTACAGTTTCCTTGTTTCAAAAGATTATTTATATTAACCTATTTACAGGTCACATTTTTGTCCCCAAATTTAAAAATTAAAGATATAAATGAAGCCCTGGCTGGCATAGCTCAGTGGATTGAGCGCGGGCTGCGAACCAAAGTGTCACAGGTTCGATTCCCAGTCAGGGTACATGCCTGGGTTGCAGGCCATGACCCCCAGCAACCGCACATTGATGTTTCTCTCTCTCTCTCTATCTCACTCCCTTCCCTCTCTAAAAATAAATAAATAAAACCTTATTAAAAAAAGATATAAATGACTGGAAACTAGACATCATCCCCGGGTCGCCTCTACCCAGGATGTCGGATGCCTGTGGCACCACCTTCACATGGGGGAGGAGGAGACGGGTTCACTGTAGCCCCACGGTTTTGCTCCCACTACTGCGTGCTAGGACTGGCTCTGTCCATAAATACCCGCAGTTCTCCTGCACTGTTTCTGAAGCTAGACCTCATTGTCTGATATGATTCACTTATGCTTGATCTTCGAATAATGAGGTCTTCGAATAATGTCATTTTGTTCAACAGCGTTTCATTATGTTGATGAGAAGAAAAAAAAATTGACTCCCAGCAGGGGCCACTGTGTGAAATTTGCATGTTCTTCCCATGTTTGCATGGGTTTTCGTCAGGTCCTCTGGTTTCCTCTCACATTCCAAACGTGTGCACGTGAGGTGCACTGGCGCGTCTGTATTGTCGCAGTCTGAGTGAGTGAGGGTGCGAGTAGCGCTGTGATGGAAGGGTGTCCAGTCTGGGGTGGGCCCGGCCTCCGGCCTGGAGCCCTGAGCTGCCCGGATAGGCTCTGGCCCTCCGCACCCCCAAACTAGAATGAACAGATAGGACAATAATTACCTTATTTTTTCATTACTCTTCCATATGTGTATGTATAGCTCACATTTATTTCAATGTTCAATATTAGAAGCGTTTGGGTCTTTATTTAGAAGTTTAGTGATGTTTTTGTGACCAGAAATATGTTGTAGGAGTTTAACTCTTCTTTATATCAATTAGCCTATGGTAAAATTGGTTTTGTTGCATGCCTTTGTTTCATTAAAGGTGCAGTTTCCAAGACCCTGTATTCCTCAAGTGAGGACTTACTGTGTGTGTTTACGATGCAAATACAGACCACTGAGTTTTTAAGCTTAGTACACACCTTAATTTACGAACACTGAAATTCAGGAGGCCAATGTGTAAGAAAGTCCAAGGTGAGGCAAGGTCAATTCTCTTCAACTCAATTCTAATTTTAATAAATCATCTCTGAGGATGTATTACATGATGGATATTTCAAGCAACTTTCATTATTTTTGTTTTTTTACCCCATACCAAAATCATCTTTACGATATAGCACATGTGCTAAAAACTGTGAAGAAAGACCTGTGGGATGTGAATAGCATAGAAACTGATTTGCTTTCAGACAAACTCTTATTGTGTTGAGCATTAGAATTCAATAAAAGTAACCCAAAATAAAATTTATTAAAGTCCAAATTGTGCCACTAACTTCTTCTTTCATGTAATAAACATCCTTTATAAAATATTTGCAAAACATATTTTCCATTAACTCTTTATCAGACCTTCTGCTGAAGTTAGTAGAATACACATAAACACAACCAATAAAATTTGGCCTTTGCAATTATCTCACCTGAGTGAGCAAAGTTACTTTTTGTACTTATTTGGGATCCTAAAATGGCTATTTTACTTACCATTTGGAAGTGTGGGGAAAATGTAACTTATCATCAATAGCAGGAGTAGTTGACACATGATGGTTTACAATATTTAAATACTTCTCGATGTGAATCTGTCACAGAAAAGTTAAAGTTTAGGTCATTATAGTGGATTCAAGGTACTCAGCTAATTTACCTCCTTTCATTAGGTTAACACTCTGAATCATGTCATTAAGCCAAAAGACAAAACACACTATGCCTACATTTATTACATGTCTAAGGTATAATTAGACACCTCAAGGCCAAGTCACTCTATCCTAAAGGGCATAGTAAACAATTGGGACTCAAAGCTTGAGCAACCCATAGCACTCTTCCCATAGTTATGCACAACAGTCAAGAAGTCGCTTAGCCAGGTAAATTTACTAGGCAGTACAGATATGGAGTGATGTCTTTCTCCTACAGGGACTTCAAGCAAGCATCCCAGAAAAGAATTTGGCCTCCAGATAACAGATAATTTAAAGTGGGCAACCCAAAGACTCCAGCTGGGGCCCACCCCTCACCCTCAGGTGATGAGGGACAATGGTGTGCTGGTCTGAGGAGGGCACAAAATCCTCCACCTCTCTCACAGCCTCAGGAGCTGAGGGATGAAGCTGATTATGAATGAATGTCTGAGGCAAAAGCAAAGATACTGACAGAGACCTAGCAGATGGAGACGACCCTTACTTGGACCCATGTATCTATACATCCGTGTTGTATTTTATATATTTTAAGTTTTATTAGAAAATTAAGATGTAATAGTATATAGTTTCAGGCATACAATATAATGGTTTGATATTCATATTTACTATGAAATGATCACCACAATGTCTAGTTACAAATTTTTAAATTTTAAGATCTTTTTATGCTCTAATCTTTTAGCAACTTTCAAATACATAGTACAGAATTTTTAACTATAGTCATCTTGCTATACATTATATCCCCAAGACTTGTTTTATAACTGGAATTTGTATACTTTTTGACCATCTTTACCCATTTCACTCACTCCCACCTCTGGCAAGCATCAATCTGTTTCTGTATCTATCAGGTCAGGTGTTTTGGGGAGGGAGGGTTGAGGAGTTAGATTCCACATAATATGTGAGATTATACAGTATGTTTATCTTTGTCTGACTTATTTCACTTAGCATGATGTCCTTGAGGTCTATCCAATTTGTCTTAAATGGCAAGATTTCATTTTTTAAAAAATATTTTATTTTCAGAGAGAGGGGAAGAGGAGAAGAAAGAGAAGGAGAGAAATGTCAATGTGTGGTTGCTTCTCACATGCCCCCCACTGGGGACCTGGCTTGCAAGCCAGGCCTGTGCCCTGACTGGAGATTGAATCGGCGACCCTTGGATTCATAGGCAGGTACTCAATCCACTGAGCCACACCAGCCAGGGAAAAATTTCATTTTTTATGACTAAATAATATTCCATTGTATGTATATATGTATATGTATATGTTTTTCTTTATCCATTAAACCATCAATGGACATGTAGATTGCTACCATGTCTTGGCTATTGTAAATAATGCTGTAATGAATGTGGGGTGCACATAGATTTTCAAGTTAGTATTTTTTTTGTTTCTTTGGACATATTGTAAATGAATATTATTCTTGTCTGAGGATTGGATTCCTGCTTTAAGATATGTCTGTAACAGTGATTTTCAACCAGCATGCTGCAAGAATTTTTAAAACAAATACCTGACTATTTAGTCAGGGGCACTGACCTCTTTCCCCTTAGACTGTCAAATAAATAATCACAACAGCCAACACAACAAAGCCACCTGGTGTGAATGAATCAAAAGTATACCTTTTTATGTCAGATTGGCAAAAAATATATTATTTTGGTGTGCCGCACAATTTTAGTAATTAGTTTATGTGTGCCATGAGATGAAAAAGGTTGAAAATCATTGGTCTAGCCTGGGCTGAGGTGGCTCAGTGGATTGAGAGCTGGCCTGCGAACCAAAGGGTTGTCAGTTCAACTCCCGGGTTGCAGGCCAGGTCCCCAGTTGGGAGTATGCAAGAGGAAAATCAATAGATGTTTCTCTCACATATTGATGTTTCTCTCCCTCTTGTTCCTTCCCTTCCCCTCTTTCTAAAAAATAAATAAAATCTTTTTAAAAAGAAAATAAAAAGGAAATCATCAGTCTATAATAATGAAGTCCCAATTTATTTCTCTGTTCCAAAGTTGGTATATTTCTTTGATTTTACCCATTGGGTTACAATATTACAAAATGACTATTCTCAACTCTCTATGATGTATTGGTATGAATCCTTTTTAGTCAGGCATATTGGACTAATAGTGATCATTTTTAAAATTCCTTTGATCAAACCACATTTTAGAAGTTATCATTGCATAATCTCACATTATCAATATTTTAAATTCTTTCTGGGATGTGACAGGTGTGAATCAATCAATCAATCAGTTAATATCATTATTATTTAAAAAAAACAGAAAAAGTTCATAATCACCCTAAATCCACCTCTGTTATAGGATTACACAGAACCCTGTGAGAACCACAATTCTTTTCTTCTGGAGGAATCTTTGTCTCCTTCTGGTATTTTAATATCCAAAGTTCTACTTACTTTTAACCCCATTTCAGTCCTCTTGATTGCTTTTTCAAGACTCTGAATGTCTAGAGTTCCTCCTTTTTCCTCAAGTGGGAATTTTGCTAATTTCTCCTTTAATTGATAAAGGTCTTCATGGACCTGTAGGTGTAAGAAAATATAAAATATTAAAAGAATATATACATAGTCCATCTAAAACATCTATTTTAAAGGTTTTCAATATGCTTGAATTGCTAGAGACAGTAAGTTTGATTTTATGGTGTTCATCGAAAAGCACTGTCTTTATGATTCTAAGATAGTCTTTGCTAGAATGTTCCATTACTGTCTTAGATTTTGAAATACTAAGCTTTCATAAAGTTGCCTACTTTTCCTTTCCCCATTAGCAACAAATCCCAGCTAAAACTGCAATGCAAATGGCTTCTGCTTTCTCAGATGGTAGAGCAGTCGAGTCCCTGGATGATAAGAAGTTTGTGCCAAACTCTGATTTCTATTAATTGGTGGAAAGGTAAGAAAACAGAACACTTTCAACACAGGAGGTTCCAGTGAAAACTTTGCCTTTCAAAAGGCAATTGTAAATATGTTCATGGGGTCTGCTGGTTTTCCATTCTGGCTGGACCCTCCTAACTGCTCAGATGTAGTTTTGTGGGTGTGTGGCCTTGACTCTGTTTTAGATAGTCAGAATGAAAATGATCCATGAAGAAAAAGCAACATGTTATTACTTCAACATTTTCCTTCAAAATGATGAATATCTTTCCAATGTTAAGCACCCTCAGAATTAAATGGGCATTATGAAATTAGACCATGCAAGATTCTCTGAATTCATATTAGAACTCAAACTTCAAGAGCTAAATACAGATGGCACCAATTATTGTGTGGGCTGCTGCCACAAGAAAAACATTTTGTTATGCGAATTTATGGACCCAACACCTGTTTCACCAATAGTCACACCAATAACAATCTGCAGACTGGGTTGCTGAAGGCATTTTGAAATGGTTATCTTTCTCTGTTAGTCTAACTGGACTTATGCACATTGATCCAGCCTATTATCGATTACTCTAGAATATTCCCATTGAGCCAAGTATTCAAAAGATCAAAATTTGCATCTTTTCACTGATGGGCATCACAGTCTGGCAGACACATCTGGTCATCTGTGCTCCGCACAAATTGTCATGCAAACCCTTCAGGGCTCGCAGATTGAGATCTGCACACACCTACTGCTTGTTTGTAAGACCCTAAGGATGAAGATGTTCTCCTTTCATTTGTTTTGTCCAATTACTGCTGCAAGCTGATTTACCATCTATTGCCTGAAGACATTTGGAAAGTACAAAGAGCAGTTCAAGGACAAGCCCCACTTCCAGACCCCTACGGATGCACTGAATTTCCTTCGTGTAGCTGTAGTACTTGTAGGTTCCTGTGTCATTCTGTAATTATGCCTGGCAAGTGCTGGAGAGAGTGAAAACTGCCCTGGATTACTATCGGGGAACCAAAGGTCTGACTCGTTCATCTGCCTCATGTGAACAATTATACTGCTTCATAGAGCTCCGAGATATGTGGAGATCTGGTACATAGTAAGAATCGGTAAAGAGCAGATGAACATAATTCCTTGTTTTCTCACTAGTCACATGATGTCTGTGTACACCATCCACATTTTCTCTAGTTTCTTCACTGAGAGAAAATAAAAGAATTATTTTCTGTCGTAGAATTGTTGAATGCAAATGGGGAAATGTGTGTGACAATGAATGAATATAGGCTTTGGAACCAGACAGACATAAACTGGAATCCTATTTCCTTTTTTACTACACTAAGCTTGGTAAATTTGGCAAGCTTTTCAGAGTCTTGGTGTTCTCATCTGTAAAATGGAGATAAATAGCTACCTCTCAGAATAGTGGCAAAAATAAGGTGAGTTAAAAATACGTCAAGTGTTTTGTTTGGGGCCAGCCACATAGAAGGGCACCAAACAAATGTTAACTCTCCTCTCCTGAATAGTGAAATCTAGTGAAACTCCTTGCACATAACTGGCACCTAGTAAATGTTCACCAATTTGAATTACTGTCTTAATCTTTCTCAAGAGCTTTTCACGTTACTTTTCTTGCCAGATAGTTTCTTCTCTCCCCTTAATATCTGCACATCTGTTTGTACAATTGCATTAGTGACAAGCATTGTTGAAAATCACCACACTTGGGTAGGAAAAATAACTAAGTTCTAAATCTCTGCTCTTTCTTCAAATAGGCCCAATCTACTATACTGAAACTTCACATGTCACCCATCAGTTCTGTGATCATCAAATGCATTGCTTTTCATACATTTTGAAATCTATGTGGAGGAAATTATTGTTTTGACAGTTTGGGGACAGGATTGTTTAATAAGAAGCTCTTGAAATATTTAATGCAGTAAAAATTTGCTCTCAAATTTAAAAGAGCCATGCAACCAGACTCCAGATTGTCCAAAAGCAGTCTCATAATTCCCATTTTACTCATCTCTGCTAAAGAGATGGTGTGGCTGAATCATTCTCATTTTTATGTTGTATGCTTCTGGCAACCCAGAAGGCAGGACTGGTAAGAAAGACAGCGCTAATATCAAGGTGTCAGCTAGCCCCAATATTTCCAAGGTTGGTGTTAACATGCCACTGTTGGATTTTTAAAATCAACTGTTGGATATATATAAAAACAATTTGATTGCCTAAGCTAACAGTAAAGGAAGTCCACTTCACAATAACGAGAGATAACGTAGCTTTGGGGAAACTGAATCAACTTAGAGGTGTATGTAATCCAAGTTATGTGTCATACAGCAGAGAAAGCTGAGGCCCAGAGAGGTGAAGGGACATCAGGACAGTGATGTGTATCCCAGACTGACCAAATAGCTACCTCTGGGTCCCATTCTGAAGTGAAATGACTTCTGGCTGCATAGTCAGTACACTATTCCAAACCACAAGGGGAGCAGCCCCTGGGAAGTAGAATTATCTCAAGAGAAGGTGTGAAATTAGGCATGAGAATTCTCCCTGAATTCTGGTTTCTGTTTTAGAGTTGTCTCAGGCCTGTAGAAATAGAGAAAACTACAGAGGAACTTAATTGCTCCTGTAGTCAAATAAAGTATACTGTTGGGAAGAACTGGGTTTTTCTGGGTAGGAGTCTCCATTAGTGTTTCAATTGTTTGGGATCTGTAAACATGGGCCCTGGACTTGCAAGCCGGTATGTGTAGTGAATAGTTAACCTTACCTAAAGAGAGGCCTAGCCTTTGATCTTACATACTGGGGGGTGAATTGTAGGCCCCTGAAGTACCCTGCTTGAGAGGAGTGTGTTTGCTTGGAGGCTTTGGCCACCACAGTCTAACAATGTGATTTATGATGGGGTTTTGAGCCACATTGTATCAGTTCCAACCTTTAGAGGAACCGAAGGCTAAAAGCATGTCTAACCTCCAGAATGGCTGGGGATGAAGTGTCAGTCATGTGGGATGGCGTGCAATTGAGCCGCAATAAAAACCCTGGACACCAGTCTCACGTGAGCTTCCCTAGTCGACAGCACTCTGTGCACATCGTCACACATCGTGGCTGGGAGGAGGTAATGCTGTCTACGATTCCTTGGGGAGAGGGCGACTGGAGGCTCTGTTTGGACCCCACTTGGACTCTGCCCTATACATCTCTTCCTTTGGCTGATTTTTGTTTGTATCTTTACGCTATAATAACACTGTCATTGTAGACCTAGTGTTTTACTGCATTTTGTGAATTATTCTAGCAAATTGGCAATGTGAGGTGGTCAGTTCTTCCAAATTATAGACCGCCGATCTGAAGCGAGGGTGGTTCTGTGGACTCCTGAACTTGAGGCTGCTGTAGACGTGAGGGAAGTCTGGTGAAGACTGTTTCTTCAGACTTTGCAGTTTGACTAAACTGATTCTAGGGTCATGGTGAAAAACAGGTGAGGTAAGATTTGAGTAGGACTCATGGGAAAGGAAGTCTATGAAATTGGTAAGTGTAGGGGTTTGCATTTTAGAAAAGGTAAATTTACAGACGTTTCTCCTAGGTAGGAGGTAAGAGATAAAAATCCCCGCAGGAAGAAAAATTAGATTCATTACAGATCTGAGTGAGAGTCCTAATAGAGTGACCTTAAGAAAATGACTTTAAGCCTTAGTCAAATGGAACTAAATATGAGTAAAAAGTGATGATATATGTGGGAACATTTTAAAACTACATATGTAAATAATTTATAAAGGTAACTGTCACAGACTGAGTAAAAACTACATACATAAATAATTTATAAAGGTAACTGTCACAGACTGAGTAATACTCTAGATGTTCTTGATATTTACCCCTTCAGAAAAAAATTATCCCCCAAGTTTTTAAATGTCACATTTGATATTCAAAATTTTAACTTGATTTGCAGTCTGTTACTTTTAATATATTCTCCTATGTGTGTGTTCCCAAGGAAGGGACTTTTATTTTATTAAGACATAATTGACATAACATTATGTTAACTTCCTGTATACAACACAATGATTTGATATTTGTATATATTGTAAAATGATCAGCACAACAGGTCCAGCTAACATCCATCAGTACACAGTTACAATTTTTTTCCTGTGATGGGAAGTTTTAAGGTTTAGTCTCTTAGCCACTTTCAATACAGTATTATTAACTATAGTTACCATGCTATACATTACAACCCCAGGACTTATTTATTTGCAAGGGACCTTTTTGATCCCCCCCAAAAAATGGGGTGCTAAAGAAAAGCAGCTCACATATTTCAATTTCTCCTCAAATTTGCACACTTCTCCACTCCCCTACATCCATGGATTCATTTTCTCAGAACACTACATTTTAAAATGATGCCTCGGTGTGAGGTGGAGTTTTCCGAAGTAAAGGTTCCAGGGTGAGGTGCATGGTCTTGGAGTTTCACCAGAGGTGTAGCAGTACTTCTGGAGCCCAACCTCCCGGGTACGGCACCCAGCGGTGAGTTAGGCTGGTGAGCGAGGTCTGGGCTGGTAAATTTGGGGCTCTCCCGAGACAGTCTGGACGCAGCGCTCCCAATGGATGGGTGCGAGTGCACCCGCGCTGCAAGGCTCGCCCCGAGGTGTCTTAGCTGGGGCCGGGTCGGGAGGGGCTCAGTTCCCACCTGGATTAAGATGTTACCGATGGGGTCGAAGTTTTCAACCTCCTTAGCCATGGTTAGACCTAGGGGCGGATACCTCCCCCAAGCTGCTGCGTCTCCAGGCACCCAAACCTTTGTGGTGGGAACTCGTTCCCTAGGCAACACCACGCTCCGCCCGGCCTGTCCTACGCCAGTACCGGAAGAGGGGGTAACGGAAGAGTCAGGGCCGCCGGACCTTTCCGAGAACGCGCCCTTCCAGTCAGGTGACCCCTGCGCGCCAGAGCTAGTGGTACAGCCCAAGGCGGAAGCGGCTCGGGGACCGGACCGGCTCCAGGGTGCAGCTATGGCTGCGGGCATTCCTTGTGCGCTTATCACCAGCTGCTCCTCCACCTTCACCGGAGACCGGCTGGTGCAACGTGAGTAGCGAGGCTCCTGGGCGGACCTCGAGGTTCTAAGTCTCGGCGAGCGACAGCCTCAGCACCGCGGCCTCTCCGGGCCTTTGTCCCCGCTGCGGTCTTGCGCTCTTCCCTGACTGCGTTGGCTTCAGGGCCCCTCAGACTGCGAGCACGTGCCCTGTCCCCGCAGGTGTCTGCCCCTTCCAGCGTCGCTTTTCTGCTGGCCCCGCCCGCTGTGACGTTTCTTCTAGCCTTTCCGGCAAAGTGGGGCCAATACCTCCCCCGCCTAGCGCTCTGGTCTTGGTGGGGATCCTTTGCCAGGAAACCAGAGGCACTCTGGAAATTGTACCGAGTTACACGAGTACCTAGGGCAGGAATTGGGATCTTGTTGCTATCCCTGCTCCTGAAGTAGATAGTTTGTTTCCTCTTGGTTGCCCCTTAATGTATGTAAGACCTGCTAGCCTTGTCTCCCTCCCCCCCCCCCCCACTCTGTAATTATTCGCTGCCTTGCCTTCCTCTGGAGGCTCTCCGCTGGCGTTAGTTTTGGGGTATTCCTGGGGCTTGTACTTTGCCTCTGGACCTTCTTGGTGGTTGGCGAACGAAGTAACTCTTAAAAGGAACCGTAGGTGAGAAGACCAGTGTAGTGGAGAGGGCACAGGGCTGGGCCATAGGATCAACTTTTGCACTGAAGGACTCTGGGAAGTTGACTCTAACTCAAGACTCCTGTCCTCAGTGCTGGCCTCGAGTCAGAGCAGTGTCCTCAGCTGTAAGATAGGGGGCACAATTAACCTCTGCCCTTCAGTTTCTTATCTGCAAAATGGTGATACTTTTCACACGATTGTTGTGCTTAATCAGAGGCTGGCACATAGTTATCAAAGAACATTCTCTCTCCAACCCTCAGTTTTCTGATTCTTAAAACGGGGCCTATGAACCTGTCTCACAGGATTATTTGAAGAACAGGTGATGAGGCATATTGAGCACTTTGTAAACTGCAAAGCATCATACAACTCTGAACTTTTTACCGAACCTGTCAAATGACAGAATTAGGCAGGATGTCCCTCTAGCACAAATCTATAACTTATTTACCATTTTTACGATCACTTAAAAAGTTCCTCAGAAGGTAAAAGTTTATAGCACTTACTAAATGGTAACCACTGCTCTAATTATGCCATTTCCTTACCGCTAAGGATTGCTCCTTCCCATTTTTTTTTCTTTTAAAAAATAGTTTCATAGAAATACTGCATACTCCTTCAGTAAGATTTAGCATATGGAGAAAAACGTCATCCATGGTCTCATCACCCAAACACAAATACTGCTAACATTTCTGTGCATTTCCTTCCAGATGTTTTCCCAATGCAAATATTTTTTAAAATTATAATTACATTTTATATATAATTTCAACCTGATATTTAATATATGATTTTAAAATATATTTTATATATAAAATTTAAACATTTTATATATGTTTAAATATATAAAACAAATATATGAAGTTATGAATTTATAATATATTTGATATATGTGGTTTACATAATAGGTATATTTATACAAAATATATTTTGTATATTCTATATATAATTATACTGAAATTTTAAATTTAATGTTATAAGTTAGTTTCTATAATATATTACATATAGTGAACATATCAACATTTGCTTAAGATTTCTTGGTGTGTTTACCTATTCAAAAGAATTACAATTGACCCTTGAACAGCATAGCTTTGAACTGTGGGATCCACTTACATGTGGATTTTTTCCAATAAAGACTGCATGTGCATTTTCTCCTCATGATTTTCTTAATAACCTTTTCTTTACTGTAAGAATACAATATATAATAACATAAAACATGCAAAATATGTGTTAATTGACTGTTATCAGTCAGGCTTCTGGTCAGCAGTAGGCTGTTAGTAGTGAAGATCTGGGGAAGTCAGAAGTTATACATATGGGTATTTTGGTTACTGTGAGGGGTGGGTTTAGCACCCCTAACTTTCCCACCCCCACTGCATTGTTTAAGGGTCACCTGGATTTGCATTTGGATTTTCATTACTGAGATACAAAGTCCTTCTAAAATCAATCTCAAAAATATTTGTTAAGTATTCTCATGGCTACAGTACTCATCATTTGCTTTAAGGATCAGAATTGGGAGACATGGTCACTTCCTTGAAAGATCTGATACCAATAGTTGGTGAATAGTAACACTGTATTAGGTTGGCCAAAAAGTCCATTATGGTTTTTCTGTATGATAGCTCTAGTAGTGCTTTGTTGTCTTTAACTTCATTAGAAACAATTTTGTTAGGTTGTATTGTGACAGCTGTCATATCAGTGTGAATTATTTAAAAATATCAAAATTGGTGAATTTTTGTGCAGCTGTTTTTATATTAAAAATGGAAGAAGATATACATTGTCAGTGTATTATGCTTTATTACTTCAAGAAAGGTAAAAATGCAACTGAAATGCCAAAAAAGATTTGTGCAGTGTATGGAGAAGGTGCTGTGACTGATCAAGCGTGTCAGACGTGGTTTGCAAAGTTTCTTGGTACGATTGATATTTTGTCCAAATAATTCTTTGCTGTGGGGCTGTCTTATGCATTGGAAGATGTTTAGCAGTACCCCTGGTTCCTACCCACTAGAAGCCAATAGCAGGAGATAGCCAGCATACTCAAAATATCCAAATCAATAAAGTTACTGGTAAGAGTGGAAAATGTGTCTTTTATTTTATGGAAAAAATAAACAAACTTTTTGGCCAACCCAATAGTAAGAAGTGCTGGAACATAAGTTCACATTCTGGGTTTGTATGCACAGAATGTGTGAATGAAATTTGTTATCAATTAGAATGATCTGTTAGCAATTCCTTAGCAATCAGAACTATTTAAATTGAAGGTGGTGATATTGGTGTAAGAAATGATAGAGAATTGCCAGTGATATATATGATAATTTAATTTCAAAAATATATCAAAAACTCATACGACTCAACACCAGGAAGACAAACAATCCAATTAAAAAATTGGCAAAGGACCTGAATAGGCACTTCTCCAAGGAAGACATACAGAGGGCCCATAGACATATGAAAAGATGCTAAGCATCACTAGCCATAAGGGAGATGCAAATTAAAACCACAATGAGATATCACCTTACACTTGACAGAATGGCTATCCTTAGTAAATCAACAAACAACTAGTGCTGGTGAGGGTGTGGAGAAAAGGGATCCAACCCTAGTGCACTGTGGGTTGGAATGCAGATTGATGCAGCCACTGTGGAAAACAGTATGGAATGTCCTTAAAAAATTAAAAATGGGCCCTGGCTGGTGTAGCTTGGTGGGTTGAGCGCGGGCTGCGAACCAAAGGGTTGCAGGTTCAATTCCCAGTTGGGGCACATGCCTCGGTTTCGGGCCAGGTCCCCAGTGGGGGCCACACGAGAAGCAACCACACATTGATGTTTCTCTCTGTTTCTCCCTCCCTTCCCCTCTCTAAAAAAATAAATAAATAAAATCTTAAAAAACATTAAAAATAGAACTGTCTTTTGACCCAGCAATTCCACTGCTGGGAATATACCCTAAGAATCCCAAAGCACTAATTCAAAAGAACCTATGTAACCCTATGTTCATAGCAGCACTATTCACAATCGCCAAGTGCTGGAAATAACCTAAGTGCCCATCAGGAGATGAGTGGATCAAAAAACTGCGGTACATTTACACATGGAATATTATGCAGCAGAAAGAAAGGAGGAACTCCTACCTTTTGTGACTGCATGGATGGAACTGGAGAGTATTATGCTAAGTGAAATAAGCTATTCAGTGAAAGACAAATACCATATGATCTCACTTATCAGAGGAATCTAATGAACAAAATAAACTAATGAGCAAAGCAGAACCAGAGACATAGAAACATGGAACAGGGTGACAATGGCCAGAATGGAGTGGGGAGAGGGATAATGGTGGAAAGAGGGGAAGGGACAAGTCAAAGAACATGTGTGAATGACTGATGGACATGGACAGCAGTGTGGGGATTGACTGGGAGTGGGGGGCTGGGAGGAGGAGGGCAAAGGAGGGAAAATGGGACAACTGTAATAGAATAACAAATTAAAAAAAAGAAATGATAGAGAATATTAACCTAAAAGAATATTTTTAAATAATTACACAGGCAAAGCCAGCCATCATTTATGACATCGCTTCTTTGGGAAAGCTTCATTCTTCTGCAAGATGCAGTTTGTGTCTAGGTCTATCAGACTCCTATACTTACAGGAAGGATCTTAAAGTAATTTACCAAGTAGGACATTCTTATTTCAAAGATGAGAGTCTATTGTACAGTGTAGCCAGCATTGTCTAGCAAAAGAATAGGGATAAGAGCTTGGATCTTCTAATTTCTATTTTCCTGTAGCTGCTTAAGATATTCTGAGTGGAAACTTTTGGTTTATTTCGGGAATAAATAGTAATTTTCACTTAAGCAAAGTTTATTTTGTTGTCATAGGAGGACTCTGTCTTTGATTGGATTGTATATTTGCAACCCTTTATTTTCTTCAAAGGAAGAAAGATTGGGCCGGGAAGATCTACCACAAGGACCTAGAGGTGTAAACACAGTGGTTCAGTAGGTGATCAAATTAAAGCAGTGATTTCAGCTGGTCATGGGGGTGGGTGAGCTTTGGTTTGTTTTTAGCCATGACACAATGTATTTTATAATTTTCGATTAACATTAACAGAAGCTTTACAGTTTTTATCTTTATTAAAGGAACAATGTTAAGTCATCAACCTAAGGAGGAAGAAAAGATTAAATACAAGTTTATATTCTTTCCAGACCCAATGGGACTTAGATAATATATCTTAGAATAGAAATGTTATCTTCCAGTGTGTGTGCAAGCGCACATCTTTGTATGTGTGTGAAATTAAAACTCAAAGAAGTGATTTCCTAAGGTTTTCAGCTGATGAAAGTTGGGAAGACAAGATTCAGTTCCAGTTATTTCATATATGGGAAACATAATCGCCTTCTTGGCAACCAGAACTGCATGTATTTAGGGTGGAGGTAGGAAT